TCAGTAAATTAATGACATTTAGACTTTAAGTTAGTTTTACACACGTGTCATTTTCAAATGATATTTGCCCTTTCACTTAATTTCTCAATTGGCCACCTAAGGGCCCACTCTTCAATGCAGTCAGCAGAACAGCTTTCTGCTGTCAGCTTAGCAGTAAGCTCAGACTCAGTGGCGTAAATTCTGACTCCCCATGGATGTCAGGAACCTAAACCCTTCCAGACTCTAGGGCACAGTTCTATGCCACCTTTAAGACCATGACCACTACCCCTCTGTCTGGTTTCATTTCAGCCCATGGCACACATGTTGTTGGAGTCCTCTAATCTCAGCCTGACTCCAGCTTGCCATCCTTCCTCCAGGGAGAAAAGACCACTGCAGGCCTCAGTAGCCCTTAAGTCCTGTCATGCGACCAGGCACAACCGTCCCAGACTAAACTTGGCATCCTTGGGCATTCCTGAACACCACCCCAAGCAGAGAACCCCTACAGGACCTTTTTAATGCTTAATGGAATGGAAGCCTTTGTCTGAGATTCAGGCAGCATGGAGAACAAAGTGTTTTGGGGAGGAGTAGGTAGAGGAGACCTCTGTCAGTCCCAGGCCAGGCGGTAAAAAAGCCAGTCTCTTCATGGAAAGACAAAGTCCCAGCTCACCCTGGCTCCCTCACGGCCCTTACTTCCTCCTGGCAGAATTCAGCTTGGAGGAAATAGATTCCTTCCCTGCTGAGCACAGGCTGTGAAAGACGAACACCGGGGCCCATAGGCTCTGAGCAGGCTTTATTTATGTGTCCACTTGTCTCACGCAGCTGACTTCACTGCACATTATTCAGACCAGTGGCTGCAAGCAGTTGTTACCAAGTTTGTAGGAAACGCAAATCACCAGGAAGGTGAATTTCAAAATAAATAGTGGCAGGGATTTTAGAAAGCTAGTCAACTGCTTTTGACCAAACCTGCAATAAAATCTCTCCAACTCTCTCCCAAAAGTCAATAACAAAATCCAGAAAAAGCTGAAGAGTAGAAGCCTCCAGAACATTCTTCAACCCACCATGACTTAGCTTGGATTTACTCTTGGGCAGCTTCTTTTTTCTGTCTTCTTTTTATGTTCAGGAATTCGTTTGGGAAAATACATATCAAGTATACAGTAGACTTGTGTAATAGAATAATAAGTGCAGCCCATAAAAATCTATAATCAGGGGAGTCTGTTTCAAATACAGTGTGAAAAATGCAAACTCTGCAGCAAGTTACTCTGCTCAGTTACCCTTTGGGATTAGATACGTACCCTTCTTTCTTTGTTTTAAACATAAGACACGCACATTTAAAGTGAGAAATGATTCTGAGTTCTGGACTTTTGATTCCAAACTATTTCCCAAAGAACTCATGCAATAGTTTCCCCTAGAAAAAGTCCCATTTATGCCGTAGAAGAGACTCGTATGCTAATAAACTGGTATTGACAAGTGTGATGGATGCAGCGAGGTACTTAGTGAGTGCTGGAGAGCAAAGTTGATTGCATTTTACAGTCTGTGTATTTCTCTGTTTATTGCTTGTATTCTGTCATTAAGCAAACAGGTTCCTAATATAGCAAATCTCTCTAATCAGTAAAGCAAGGGAGAAAAGAACCAGAGCATCATTAATTATGACCATTTGGCTGTAGCCTGGACAGTCTGCTGCTATTGGATTGTACAGCTTCCTCTGGTTTTATTTTCTGGAGGTAGAGCAAAAAACAGCTTTGTTTTTGCATGGAGGAGAGCAGAAAAATGTTCTATGCCCTGCTGGCTGACAGCTGCCTAAAAACCCGAGATTAAACACTGGCTTCTCTACAGAAATGGAGTCCTGGGGCAGCAAAGGCCAGGGTCTGAGTGAGCGTGCTTTTAAGTCTCTGATTCCATAAACAGAGCAAGCTTGCTACTCACAAGCCTGACTCGTCCCTGAGGTCCTGGAGAGCCCACTTCAGGCAGAACCTGGTGGGGACCTGACTGGGCCATAAATCACGTGTGTGCCTGTGTGCTCTGTACAGGAACGCCATTGGCACCAGGACTGGTTTTCCAAATGCTAATCACTGGGTAAAAGGCAGGAGAGGCTCCACTCTGACTCCAGGTAACAGAGGTTAACAGCATCTAATGCATTTATTAACCCTCTGGTGCCAGGGACTGGCGAGGTCTGGTCTCACAATTACAGGGCCCTGGAAATTCTATTTTGTGGCATGCCTGGATTTGTGGATTATTACCGGTGACAATTTTATAGCAGAAGAGTAACAGCTGCTGGAGGGACAAGGCTTATGAAGAGCCTAAAGAACAAGTTTCCTGGCTTTTCCAGAATGTGGGGAAGGCTTCTGTGGGCACCGTCTTCTCTAAATGACTCTGCATTAGTTCTGTTCTCCAGATGCAGCGCTCTAGATCCTATGTCTTGGTGCTGATATTTCCCCATTACAGAGTCAGGCGTCTTCCTTCAAACCACGTAACTGTAAATTAGCTGCTCAGCAATACTCTTCATAAAAGAGATTCAACAGTTCATCTTCTCAACATATTGAAATAATGGTTCTTCAAGTCGGTGCTTAGAAAAATGAAATGTGTTCTTTTTCTTTTTTTCCCCAAGAGACATTCATTTTAAAACTACAAACCCTAAACTCTATGTCCAGGTATGTATCGCTGGCTGAGAGCTAGGTTGTGTCCCTGCATGTCCCATCATCAGCAGGGTTGCAGGGCACACGGAAAGGACCCTGTGCCCTATGCCAGCACATCCATCAATATACTGTAAGGGGAGATTCCCCAGTCCTGCCTCAAGTTCCTGAAGTGACAGAGAAATACAGCTGCTGAGACTTACAGGTTGTTTATGTTTAGAAGAAATCACTGCTCCTGCAGAGTGCTGTGGGAGGACACATGCCCACCTACGTCCTCTCAGAGGCCACTGTGGCCCAGGAACCAAGGTGCCACTTAACCGTGACCGGGCACAGCGTGCCCCAGTCTGGAGGTCATGCTGCCTTCTCTGTGCAATTTAGTGAACATATTACTTATGCAAAGGCACTTAGCAAAGGTTTCCCTTTTTTGCAGAATGTGGTCTAAAAAAGAAGGCGGACTGAGATGTTCTAGGGTCACTTTGGTCTCTGGGCATGAATCCAATCTTGACTAGAAATAAAACATGTTAAATTCTACATAGGATCTCAGGGAACAATGTAATGGACCACATGTGCCATTAATATATGATTCCTATCCCGATTTCCCCTGTGATATTCTTATACATAACATTTAGTGACCTTTGAACAGCCCTGGGAGGCTTCATAGTGTCTTATTCTTGAAGCCTGTTTAAAGGTTTCTATTTCATATTCACAGTTGGCATATGCAAATACAGGCAAAGATTATGATGCTTTCCAAGTGGCTTTATGGTCAATAAATTACTCCTTGCATGAACATGCAATTATTTCAGCCTAGCATGACTTAAGGGAGTTACAGAAGTCTTGCTGCAGGCCTCAGCCTGCTGGTGTCACATGCTCGACACTCCTTGATTCGGGGTGATGTTTAACCAGGGTGCATCTTGCTGGCAAACGAGCTCTCGGTCAGTGCAAAAGGCTGTTATTTACTGCTGGGGTTTGAAGATGGGCATCATGTGCGGAGTTGTTACATTTGTGGGATTTGAGGAGGGTAGAGATCTGGAAAATATCATAATACAGGAAAGAGCGTCTTTTCACTCAAGAGTCGAAGAGAGTCGGTTGCATCCTGACTCTGCAAGCAAACTGCTGTGTGACCTCTGCTGACTCTCTTAACTTCTGTGGCATCTAATTGTTTTCCTTTGTGAAACAAGTGAGTAGTTTTCACAAGTGTTTTCATTACCATTGTTTGAGCAGGGAAACTTTCTTTCCACTTAGGTCTCAGGCAGGAGACAAGGCAGGAGACTAACCCAGAGGCAAGTTGGTCTGGTTGAGGGGAGATAGGGAATTCAAGCCCCTGTAGCTCGGCCTCCTCAGGGCTCATAGGAAACAGTCTTAAAACAGCTGGATTGCTATGCAGTGCCCTGTAGGATTCCTTGAGGGTCCCATCTGAAAGAGTGCCTGCCCTGTGCCTCAGCCCGAGGAGAGGTTCATTGGTAGAGGGAAGCCCTGTGAGCCCAGGGACCATGTCCTTTCTGTTTATCAACCTGTAGAAAATAGTAGGAAAATAGTAGTGTCTATTGACTAGGGCATGAAAAAACAGATGAACAGACAAGTGGCCGGAAGACCGCCACCTGTGTTAATATGATTAGTATTTTATTGCAACATTTTCAAGGTTTGAAGCCACTTCCCAAAATTAACATACAGAAATATAAGTGAAGTAGACAAGGGGGTACCTGCCTGTAATGCTGGCACTAAGGGAGGCTGAAGCAGGAGGATCTCAAGTTTGAGTTCCACCTGGGCAAGTTGGTGAGATCCTGTCTCAAAATAAAAAATACAAAGGTCTAGAGATGTTGCTTAGTGATAGAGCTCCCCTGGGTTCATTTCTAGTGGGGGAAGGAAGGGAGGAAGGGAGGGAGGGAGGAAGGAAGGAAGGAAGGAAGGGAGGGAGGGAGGGAGGGAGGTTGGTCTAATATTGCAGGCAGGCAGGAAGGAAGGAAGGAAAAGTGGTCTAATATTGCAAGAAGGAAGGAAGGAAGGCCATTTCAGAACTTGTCTGTGTAGTCACTAATGTCAGTGGCTGTTTAACCTGGAAATGAGGTGGGTTTCAATGGATGTGCATTGTTTCAATGGATGTGATTTTGAAGATGCAGTATGAAAAAGTAATGCAAAGTATCTCATTAATTTTTTATATTGATTATGTGTTGGAGTGGTAATATAGTGGGTTAAATAAAATACATTATTACATTAACTTCACCTGTTATCTCTTTATTAGGTGGCCACCAGGCTATTGTAAATTACTGCTGGGGCTCACAGTTGTGGCTCACATATTTATTGGATGGCACTGCCCTAGACTATTGATTAATGGATCATTAGTAATTACTCTCCCCTATTATTTTTGAGCTTTTCCCCCTTTTCTCTCTCTAGGCCCAGAAGCTGAAATCCAATGTGTCGGACAATACACAGCTCTGTCTTTCTGATGTAAGTGACATTTCTTTCTGGGTATTCCTGAATTTTTAGATACAACCTTTGGGTCCTGGGGGAAGGGACACTATATAAGGCTCCAAGGCAATAAGGTTTCAGGTCCAGAAAACAAAAACAAACAAACAAAAGTTAGCTACCCTCTGTGTTCATCTGCTCTTAGAGCGAGGTAGAGTTTGAACTCAGTGTACAGGGTTTTAATTACACTGCTCCCTGGGATCATCATGTGACATCCAGCCCCAGCACCAAGGCTGCTGTTCTGATGCTTGGAGGCTCTGTGAGCACAGTCAGGCCAAGTGGCCCAGCACAGAGACAATGCATGATGCTCTCACTGCTTACTGCATGTCCCCTGTCTCCAGCTCCTCTGACCTCCACAGCCATCTCCAGCGGTAGTCAGGGCAGATCTGTTGCTCTCCCCCATTTATAGGTAAGGAGAGGGGAGGTTCTGTCTCACGTGCCAATCCTACTCCACCGGGTAGGGATGTGGGTGGCATCATGGGACTGAGCAGGCGCGGTGACAGGATGGAGGAGTCCTTCTGTAAGGCAGCCCTGCAGCCTGTGTTCTGGATCAGGCTGTCCTGCTGAGGAGCTGCACAAGCTCCTTGCCCCCTCTGCTCTTCGTCTCGAAAATTTAAGTTCCGGCCTGCTCTTTCTACCTCTGATGCTAGTCGTGGCACAGTGCTACGTGCACTGCTTAACTGGGCACATCGTCCAAGATGGTTCCTCCTGCCCTCCTTCCGTAGAAGGGAGAGACAGTGAGCATCCCTCCTCAGCCTGTGCTGCCTAGAGGGAGAGAGGTTCCATTTTACTGTGCGAACTGTGGAAAGGGGGAGAAGGGCACAGATCGAAAAGCTCAAATATTTTGCCAAAATGGATTTTAATGATCTGTCACGGGGAAACAAGCAGCAAGCACTGAGCTAAGACAGTACAACCAACACACCAGTCTCACCCAGGTTCAAAGGTCCTTCTCATAAAAGTAGAAGTCAGCAAGTCAAAGGCTCAGTGGTAAAATCTAGGATCAGCTTTAGCGAGGGATCTGCCAGTGGGACTGCAGAAAGAGTGTGATGAAAAGGTGCTGTGCTACGAGGGGTTGGGCACGTGCGGTGGGTGGTAATGAAACCTTTTTCTTACAGAGCAATTATGAGAAGGATGGTCTCGCTGGTGCTTCCAGCCACATAACCACAAAATCGATGGCTGCCCGTCCAAGCTGCGATCTGAGCCCACTGCTGGTTTTGGTGGTCACTGCTCTGTCTACCCTGTTATCGTTATCCTTGGCAGAAACATTGTAGCTGCGTTTAGAAAACAAGGTGGACATGTAAAAAGATGAAAACGAAGTTATCTGTTTCCTACCTTCTTGTATATCTGAAAATCCAATTCTAGGAGCTCCGTGGAGAAACAGTTTCATCCAGCTGGAAGTTTTTTTTTTTTAAAGAGAGCTTCTTGTGATCCTTAGGGGCTTCTGTGGAAATCCTGAGGCAGTGCTACATTCCAAACTCAAAAGGCTTTGTTTGGGGCATGCTGTATTTTGGGGACAATTTGTAAACTCGACTGTAAAGTAAACTGGGGCCATGTTTTTGATGATGATGATGATGATGATGATGATGATTTTAATGGTTTTAACTCTGGCCTTTACTAAATGGAGGAGTTAGTGTTTCTAAAGATTTTTCCATAGCTCATGTAATGGCTTCGATTTCCAATGGCATAAACTACAACCTAACATGGATGACAAGCATTTTTCTGTCAGTGAAACTTCTCAAGAGTGGATTTTGTGGAAAACAACTTGTGCCGATATTCATCTTTCCATACTTACTAGCATCTTCCACACTCTTTGTGTATTGTAAACTGTGCTCTCATACAGAACAAAAGACACCCGTCACATCTACGTGTAGAATCTGTCTTTTAGTCAAAATAGGAAGAGTGGATGTGAAACCTTACAGTACTTTGATCATTGGCTGATTCTCTCCTAAGCCTTACCTGAGTGAGACGTCCTTAAACTAACAAGAGTCAAATATAGTTCAAGCATCATTCTAATACTCTTTCCACTTAGGAGGTTATATGTAGAAAAGAAATTTTACTACTCAATGATGCCAACTATTGGCTTTCTATATTTTGAAAGTAATGATATCTTCATTTTTTTTACTGATGGTTTAATACAAGATATGTGGAGCTTGTCTTCTTCTCATAAGTTGTGTTAGCTCCGGTATTGACTTCACGAATACAGCTCTTCAAAAACAGACCCTGAGGAACGTCATGCTTAGTGGAAAGCTTTGCAACACGTGGCTGTGGATGGGCAGGAGGAAATAGAACAGCTTGAGTTGTCTTTTATTGTGTCTTGAAATGCGTACATGCGAGGAGGCCCGGGGGCCACTTGTGATTGCGCAGAGCATCTCTTGGCACCATCGCTGCTGACACAATCCGGGACCTTTGTGCTCATGGTTTCTAACAGAGGCAGCTCGGATGGGAATGGGGGATAGGGACGTGCCACCCTCTCTTCCAGTCCATGCTCAAGTAAGCACTTGTTTTCTTCACTCCCAACTGAGATCCCTTGACTGCTGTGGAGACCAGTTTGGGCTGAGGATCATCGGGAATCAGCGTGTATCGTGTTCTTTTCCACGGACAGACTGTGGCTGGCTGTGCGGAAAGAGAAGGTTGGTGGGTTGAGAGGGTCAGTGGGGGAGGTCTGGGGAGGCGAGTTTGTTGGCACAGGTAAACAGAATAGGCAAGGCTGTGGTGATAAGGCAGCAGTCTTTGTTAGCTGCACATTTTCCACCATTGTTCTCTTCCATCACACAAATCTATGTGCACTTTTGAAATCTGGTTTAGATGGCAAGATTCAGAACCTGCAGGGATCACATACTAGTGGCTGTGTTTCTCTCACACTGAATGAAGAAGAGTGAGCTTTCTTCCCATACTGCACAGACCTGGAGGGGGAAACCTGATTTCCTACTGATCTCTTTCCCTGCTGCTTCTGCCCTGGAAGGTTCAACAGATCACTGGGGAAGGAGAGAGACCTACTCTTTGAGCTCTTTTGGTGTTTGAAATATATTATATCCAGATGTTAGTAAACACAGGTGTATAATACTCAGTACCTACAAATTTTTTCACCTACAAATGCTTTCAAGGTAAATGCATTCAACACCCAACTGTATTTGATCAGTGAAAAGTTCCATAAAGACTCCTACTTTGAATAAATACATTTAATGTGTCAAAAGCATTTGAAATGCCAGTCATCTAGGAGAGCATATCTCTTACAGAACATGTTTTGTTTTAATTAAGGTATCGCTGAGTATCTGCCCTGAGCTGCTTTCATATGGGTCTGATTCTATGTGATGCAGTGTAGAAAGCTATTGATTACTTCTGCAAAATCCAGCAGCTCTAATTAGCTTCAGATAACCAAAGAAGAAATGGAAGTTCTCAGTGTTAACAAGGACGGCCTTCATTGAAGAGTGTGTAGATATAAATTAAGTCTTAAAAAGCTCTATGCCCAACAAAGATCTCATTTTTTTTCACAGACAAAAGCATATCTGTGTTGCCAAATCCTGAAACTGAAAATGAGTTACTGATTAAATAAACAGGAGAAATATCTTGTTCAGGAACAACTTGTAGAAGAGAGTGTTACAAAATTAAGCCAAGCAAGTGGTCCTGTCATTTGGTTTGATCTCAGTTTACCCTGGTCACCCTGAAATATCATTGTTTGTCCCAGGACTAAAAGAGAGAAATTACTGAAACCTTTTACTTATCTAGCTTCTTCTTGGAGTGCTTACAAGCAAAAGGTGACTCACTACTTCCTGTCCTTAGTCCCTGCATGTCAGGTGTCACAGACACAGGAAGTATCTGCTAAGGCTAAGTCTCTCCCAGGAAACATCTTAGGGTGGTTGATTTTGATAACACAAAAGTAGATATTTATATGCATAGAGACCATGATTCTCAGATCAAATCTAGCCATGCCCTACTTATTTCAGAGGGAAAGAGAAAAAAAGGCAATACTGCCACATTGATTAGAAGCACATTCGTTTCACTTTGATGTTGACTATCTCTGACCAATATTTGAGTATCTTTTGAGTAGAGCACATGAAGGAAGAAGTGCACAGTATAGAAAGGGAATTCAGAATGTCAGCTGAATATTTATTTTTCCATATCTAATTTTTGTCAAACCTCTAAAAGAAAGAGCAGATGTTGATAATTAATAGGTTATTTTTCTTAAGTATAATAGCAAACTGTATCCAGAGCATTAGAGTGTGGTTTCTATTTAATTTTATTTTTTAAAACAATTCTTTATCTTACACTAAAAAATGTCTTAGAAGTGATGGCTTCGTGTTCATCCAGTGCTGGTAAGGGCTTCTCCAGGGGGCTGTGGCCTTCGATTTGATCTGTAGTTAGACAGTTTCTGTGTTGCACGGCTCTGAGGCTGGGTCTTTCGGACCTGCGTCCCATTTCCTACATAACTTTTTTGTTGTTCAGTCAGATACTCTCCAACACTCTATCTGCTGAAATAGGCAAGTGGGAGAGCTGAAGCATTTTTAAGTCGGTGCATAGCGCTTCAGAAAAGGGAGGTGAGAGCAATGGGAGTTTATATAATTAACAAATTCTTTTCTTAGACTCCAGCATAAATGTATTTCAGTTATTATTTACAAAATAGTGGCCTCCGAGGAGCTGTCTTTTGGAAAATAAGTTTTCATTCATGTCATTAGACATGCATGACTTACTTGAGTCTGTAAACTGTAGACCAGAAAAGGGCTGCTTAAATGAGTTCACGCTTTCTAATACTCTTTCGGTGCTGTTCTTGATCTTGTGGATTCGCACCACCATGCTCTCTGTTGACCTTGCTTCTCATCTTTGCTGAAGCAAATGAGACCACAGGAAATCTATGTTTGCAAGAAAGACGAGAGGCAGTGGCAGCAGATGGGAGTGAATTACCATTGGCCCAGGCACCATGACAGCAGAATGCCCATCTGCACTGAGCTCGGAGAATTTGGAGAGACAAAGCACAACTGAAGTGCAGTAAGAGGCCATGTACCATTGGCCTATGGGGCTTGCGGTCTGCTCACATCTTTTAGAGAGCAGGATGGGAGATTTAACCTAGTAAAGCACCCAGAGCGCCTTGAAGTACACTGTGGTTCCATCACAAAAAGGAAGCCAGAGCTACCCGTACTTTCTGGATGACAGAGGAAGGAATTTCTTTTTAAAAAATAAAACACTGAGGGATTCAAATGGATACCTTTAAAGCTACATTTTTCTCTTATCCTGAGACAGAAATCTCATGTATATATCTGACACCTTTTGACACAGCTTTTCTTCTTGAGTGTCCATTTGTTTTAAGCCTGTTCTCACGATCCTTCATGAGAATTGTACCTTTGATTAATATTCTCACTGCAGAGGCCTTAAATCTGTAGGCTTTGCACATCCCGGTGTGTGTTCTATAGCATGTCCCCCACCCCCACCCCAGGACAGCTGTCTTCAGATATTGACTGGTTCAGTTCCCTTTCGTGCTGGTTATTGAGTCTTTACCTTCACCCTTGTTCTTCATTCCTAAGTATTTAGTAGGGTTTGTTCCTATCTATTCTTCACCCTCATCACTGTAAGTCTTGCACTGGCCAAGGTCATTCGTTTTCCATCAGAAGGCCACTTTGTTGAAGAAGGAGAAGTTTCGCTCAGAAGCCAGATGCTCTAAAGATGATGCTGGTATTCCAGGCAGAAGTTCACCTCCCCAACTCTCCCCTGAGTGCTTCCTTCCTCGCATTGGTTTACCCTGCTTGCTGCATCCTCCCCAGGAATCTCCTTGTTCCAAGTACTCTCAGATGAGCCTCTCCTCTTTCCCAGAGGCAGGTTGGCGTGTTGCTCAGCAGATGAGCCACCTGCACCTCTGATGGCTCTGAGACCCAGGCAGGGAAGGCACACAAACGCTACTTCAATAAACTGACTGCAGAGCACCGCAGCCTGTTAATAGTTGTGGAGGCCTCAGCCCCCTAAGGTCTCCAAGCTCATTTGACCAGCACAGCTGCGACTTCGGCTGTCTGCCTCTGGCAGGTGCCAATATCAGCATTTTGTCCCACTGCCATGGGGCGTTTATTTTTGCTCAAGGGTGGTCACCAAGCCCCGCACCTGCATCTATGGAAGGTTTGCTCTGATTTTCTTCTATTCTTTTCAGGCTGGGCTTCCTTACCAGTCCTCATTTCTGTGCTGTGGAGATTGCCAAGAGGCTGCCCAGACACTGTCAGCTTCCTCCTCAATCCTGACATCTCTTCCTGCTCACCAGCCTTACCAAGCAGACTGTATGACCATAGTGGCATTTGAAAAATGCTAGTTGCATGAAAAATGTTGGCACATCGAAGGGCATCATTCTGTCACACCGTGACAAATTTTATGGAGTTGGCCTATTTGTGTAGTTGTACTGTCACTGAGCTTTGTTGACATTGAATTTGTTCTCCTGAGATATTGAGGGTGACCTGGGGAAAAAGATCCAAGGAAGGGCTCAATTCACCCCAACTTTAAATCTGCTTACTGTCTTCCTTGCTGAGACACAAAAAGCTGACACTTGTCCACAAGTCTGCAGAGTTTTTAATCTGCCTCGAGCACATAGGCAGGAAAGCTGGACTACTTCACAAGTCCCAAGTCACCCTGAGAGATGACAACTTCTCCATTAGTATCCTGAGAGTAGATCAAGTGCTGATCAGTTCAGCACACTTGCTGAACAAGTACCCTGGCTGGATGACCCATCATTGAGAGCTGAAGCTTCTCACAAGTAGTGTGAGACCAGGAGCCCTTTGACACAAGTTCCCCCCCGAATTGGGAAATACTTACCTTCTCAGATTGGTAAAGTCTTTCAGCTTGGCGTCCTTTTTAATATAAAGTTTATGAACCTGTTTTTTCTGACTTGGTCTCCCAGTAGTTAAATTCCAGTCACCATGAGTTCAAGAGCAAACAGTTCACCCAGGATGGAGAAGGCAAACTCACGCCCTCTCAGCCTGATCCTAAACATCCACTCCAGCAACCCAGGCATTGCTCCTGGGGACCTCAGAGGCTGTGAACTGGCCTCAGAGGTGAACCTGTGGAGCTGTCGGGTAGCAGCCATGGTGCAGCTCAGACTGAGACAGTAGAAGCTGCTGAAGCTGAGGCCAGCACTCAGTCAGCAGAGTGCAATCGAAGCAAAACTTCAAATGTGCAGTGACCCCTGATGCCCACCAGACATAGTATAGAAGAGACTGTAATACAGATTGAGAGAGGATGAAGAATTGCCAAATCCAGTAGATGGCCTAGGATACAAACCCCAAGGACTTTAGAAGCCAGTAAAGCTGGTCCCGAGGCCAGGTCAGGGTGCCTAATGCAGGGATGGGTGAAATTAAGGGGCTTTCCAGCACACTGGCCTATAAAGCTCGCGCTCTCTCTCTCTCTCCCTCCCTTCCCCCTCCCCCCTTTCCCTTCCCCCCCTTCTTCTTCCCTCCCTCCCTATCTTTCGTCTCCCCCCTTCTTGCAAAGCATTCTCAACCTGGAATTTGAGTTTTTGTTGCTCAGCTTTAGGGAAAGGCATTTCTGATGTGTGGGAAGAGAATGGAAATCCCAGCGCCAGATCACAGCCTGCCCTGCCTTAGTTGGATGCCGTCTTTCTGTGATCAGGCACTTCTGATGTGATTTTTTCAGAATCAGAAATAGCTGGTTGTCCTCGGAGGATTGGAGAAGTGGTTTCATAAACCTGAAATCCAGAGCCTTACAGTTCTCCTAATTACCTGTCTTTTTCTCTCCTTCTCCCTTTTCCCTCATCCAAGGGAGTGGGGAAACACCTTCTCACCATGGAGCCTGCTTGAAAGAGTTTTCCAGTCTTGTGTGTATTATCCCTTGATATTGAAATTATTTTCTCTGTTTAATCCAACTCCTGCTGAGAAGCTGTGTGAGACTTAGGGTGGCAGATTTTTTTTTTCTTATACTTTTGGATGGCGTTGCATTTTTTTACTCTTAACCTGAGGGTATGTCTCAGCTGCCGCTCATTCTGTTTCATGAGGTTAACAGTACTAACAATACAAGTGAAATAGAAGAAGGTGTCTGATCTGGGGGATATTTTTAGAGTTCTGCCCTGGACGAGAGGTCCAGACACCCAAGCTCCTGGGGGCTCTAGGAGAAGGGCAAAGCGAGCTCCGTAAAGGAGCCTCCAGTTAGGAGAGGCAGCCTTCCTGGGGTCTCCTTGCTAGATTGTATTCTGGAGCCTTCCTTTTGCAGAGGGTGATCCATTTTTCTCCCGTCTGTGTGTCTGGTTTCCAGAGGACACTTGTGTGTTTTCCCGGGGTTGTGCCTACACCCCTTCCTCACACAGCTCTTTGTGACATCCTCTCGCCAGCATCTGCGGAAGAACATCTACGTGTAGAAGTACAAGTTTTGCTGTCTGGACCATGGAAGTGGTTTCGTGATGTTTGAATTTTCTGTTAGCCTGTTGATAAAGCACTACAGAGTGTACGTAGTCCCTTTGGCCACCTCTACCCCAGAATATCCTAATAAACTTTCCTTTTTTTAAAAAAAAAAAATCAAAGTGATTACTGTCGTTTCTCTTTCTTTGGTCCTCATTTATCAGAAAGCAATCTTGAAATCTATAAAGGCATAGAGCTCCCTAGAGTCAGAAACGGTGAGATTTGGGGGCAGCAACTCACAAGGACAGCGCAGGCTGACACAGAGGCTTTTAGCGCCTGGTTTCCCAAACTTGGTGCTAGTTATTTGTCAGGGGAGTGTGAGTGTTTCGGGTCTGGGTTATTGTCCCTGATTAGTGGTATCTGTGGGTAGCTCCCATTCTTAAAAATATGTCTAGACTTAGTAAGTGTCCCCAATCACTCCTGGGCCACAGCCAATTTCAGACCCAAACTAGGGTCTCACGAGTACTGAAAGGAACTTGGCTTAGTGGAGGGGCCGCATCTGACATTTATTTCTGTCCTCAAAGTGCATTTTTATCTTTCAAAGATACAGCTGGTGGATTCTCTAGTTACCATCATATTTGTATCGAATGCCTGGTACAGACTTACAAATAGTATTTTGATAAAAGATAAAGACCTAGAATGTGGTCCTTTGTCCTATTTCTAGCATCTAGCTCAGTGCTGGCCAAATGACATCACTTCAGGTCACATTAGGTCAGATTTTATCCTTAAGAATTAGAAGCATGGCAGTGGACACTCAAAATACTACTCCTGTCTCCCTGAGAAAGTGATCACCCCTAGCATCATTATCCCCACCAAGACTAAGTGAAAATATTAAAACAAACCAAGTACATAATTAATGTTCATGCTGTTGTTTGCCTCAGGATATAATGCACAGTCCACAGAATGGCCAGAAGACTTCACCTGCCCTGTGTAAGACAGAAGCCTGTTATTTCACTTAGTGTCATGAAGGACACATTTTCTTTTTTTCTTTTTTTGTTTTCCTTTTTTGAGATAGAGTCTTGATAGACAGACAGAGTGGCCTTGAACTCACTGTGTAGCCCAGTCTGCCCTTGAACTCAAAGCAAACCTCCTGCCTCAGCCTTCGCAGTATTGGGATTACAGACTTGCACCACCATGTCTGTCCCAGCCTTTTTATCCCATTTTGGTCATCTTTGTGATTTATCATTTAACTGGGCTTTCCTGCTGCCTTGTCTTCTGGGCCTGCTTTCACAGGGAGAAATTTAGAATGATTTGGGTCAGGTGCTACAGAGTGCACCAGTTGGTTGGGGAAAAGTCTGAGCGTTTGGACCTAGACCTGATGTTTTTATAACAAAAGCCCAGCTCCTTGCAGCTCACCCTGGGCCTCTCAGGGCAGCCTTTACAGACTCCTTAATTTCATGCACAGAAAAACAAATGAATCCCTGCTCATCAGCACAGGTGTGAACCGGGAAGGGGCAGGATGTTGACAGAATCTTCAAGCAGTAATGAGAGTGCAGCCATCATAAGCACCCTTGTGGCCTTCACTGGCCTCCCTCAGTGCCATTGGTTTGTATTCTAATCATTTTCTGAATGCCACCGAGTCCCTAGGATGCAGGTGGTAGAAATTTTAGGAGCCAGGACCAGAAATGTTTGGTAGCACTCTGAGAGAAATGCCAAGAAAGTGAATAAAAACTGTGACAGAAACAAGATACAAGACTGTTTGTGTTTGGTGATATAAACAAAGCATATGTGAAAACACAGAGATGTGAAAGATAGGAAAAGCACTAGCCATAAACGTCACGTAAACCAATAGTGGTAGCTGCAACCGAAGGGTTTTGTCCTCGTCAAGATTTCTCCCATGCAGGCTGGCAGATAAAACATGCACTGTGTTTAAGTGATAAAGGGAATGCTTGGCCTGAGAATGCTGAGGGTGGGCACAGGAAGGGGGGTGTTCTTTTTAGAGAGCTGCGGA